CAACAGTGGTCAAGCCAAATATTGACTTTCAAGCTTGTTAGAATTGTACAAGCTCTGTTTTTGCCTTTTATCCTCTATTTCCATCTGTGTTTGCACCTGTTTCAATAAATCACTGCACCTGTTTCATGTTTTTCTAGCTAAATATTTAAAACATGAGGGCTAAATCAAGACTTGTGCGCACAGTACTCTATTACCCATTTTTATATGTCTTTGCGGTTCCTCCACAGTGACCTGAACTTACGTGTAATGAAAAAACAAAAACAGTCTGAAGAATTGAAGAAAAACGTGAGAACAGCCACTTTGAAACCAGTGCTGTGAATGGAGCACAAAGTAAGTGGATCTGACACTCGAACACTACGGCCCCTCTGCATGCTGTGGCTGTTCAAAATTTATGCATGAGGATTAAAAAAAATCAGCCCACTCGGCTTCACATCTTGACAAAACCACTCAGAGGCACAAGCCGATCTCTACAGGAAGCTGCAGAGATGTCAGAGCGCCTCACGACAGTCAAACCTAAACAGGAGCGCTCTGTACACTTCCTGTCTTCCTGTCACCACGCTGGTTGTGGATAAAATACGTGATGGTTTTTTTTCCACATGGAAGGTTTTAGCTGATACCACAACGAGAGAATGCAAGGTTTTGTTCTGAATGAAGCGTAGCTAACGAATACTTGGATTCTTTGCAGTCAGCGACTGCCTGAAGTCTACAGATGATGGACATCACCAAATGTTGAGTTTGATCGCTTGATGTTCTCCGTCAGGCTTTGACTGTAGTCACCCACAGTTGTTCCCTGTTTGTGGGTCTCTCTGCATCCTGTTTGCTATTTAATATGCAAAACCTGCTCTGCTGGAATCAGATGACAAACGTGACAATCGAAGAATATCCCATTTCTTTGCATTGAGAAACTCGTGGATTGGATCTTTTGACGCAAAAGAATCCAAAACCATGAATCTTTAGCAGTTTGTTTTGGGTCGTTATTTGCTGTCTGATCAGGTTTGCTCTTTTTTCTGAGTCTGAGCAGAGAGAACAGCTCCGTACACATCAGAAGTCACTGGCAGCCACACATACTCACAAACCAAATCCACCGTAACTAACAGGTGATGCAGTATACTGAGAATGTGAGTGTTTCTCTCCTACTTCATATTTTTCTCATCATCATTCTGATTCACCTTGGTTTCATCTGTCTTTTTCCAGAACTTTTCCGAAACAGGTTCTTTTACATGTTTTCTTTGGAAAGTGTCATCTGTCCTTAAAACCAGTGGTTTGTGTTGTAAAGCTTCTGTGTTCATGAGGGTGTCTCATTTATCCATAACAATGATAGGCCCACCTCTTTGAGTGTTCTTAGCTTGGTTAAATGTTGTGAATGCGTTTTTGTTGGAAACAACGTTGTTATTGAGTTTAGCTGCCGTCTTTGGTCTTTCAGGCCTTTTGGTGTGGCTGGAGAGTTTATTATAAGCAGCTGCAACAACCACCTTAGGTTGGTTGTTGGGAGGCAACTTGTTTCCAAACAATTGTGGTCCAATTAAGGCTGCTAACATATTAAAAAATTAATTTATCACCTATGAATGTACACAGACTGCAAACAGCTAACGTAATCTCTAGCAGAGTCAGTCTGTGCCGATGAGCACAGCTCAACTGCAACACAGCTCTTGGGAACAGGGTCTCGTTTCAACTGGTAACATCTAGTTGTGTTGTGGTATTCCTGTATAAATGCAAGAGTGCAGCATGCCTATGTATAACTCTTCAGGTAAATTACTCTCCTGCAGCAACTCATTTCCGAATATTGTATATTGAATATGATTCAGACAGTAACAGAATTGCAAATTTTGCAAAGTTATCATAAACAGATTGCATGTAATTGCCAAACTGGCCTCATTCAATTGCAAACCGATGAGAGCGACAGCTGTTTGGCTCCGCCTTTTTACTGCTTTATTATCATATGAAGACAGCAGTGGTCACAGATCCAAAGGAACCACTTTAGTGCTGCTGTCTCCAACCACTGTTTCCCCCGTGTGGCCGTAGCATTAGCCTCCGTGCACTCAGTGTGTTAATCTGAAGCATGTTTTCACTCTATTTCCTCAGCTGAGACTCTGTTTCATGCATTTAAAACCCAGATAAACATGATGTGTTGACTGGTTTATTCATTATAGCAGAGATTCTCGTTTATAAAGTAGAAAGGTAAGACAGAAACTACTCGGAGACGGCATTGCTGAGGAGTTTTTTGGTGGTGGTGGTGGAGTAAGAAACAAACCCATAAATCAAAGCTTCTATATGACTTGCAAAGTGTGATTAATCACTGGCTCTGTGCATATTTTTAGTCTACTGTAAATTACCCTCTAAAGTTTCTTTTAACTGTATTTTAAAGCTAAGATTATAACGAACTCCTCCACTCTTTAAATAGAGTCTTGAACTGGAAGTCTGTATCTGCTTGAACACTCCGCTTTAAGTTTGAAATGCACAGATGATCACAGGAATACTTATGTGAAAGGTGTAGAAACATCAGTTGCAGTGAGGAACTATTACCCAGCTCTGCAGTTCAGCTAAGTACTACTAAACATTCACCTGAGCAAAAAACTGCAAAGTAAATTAAAAGTGTGCACACCTGTATTTTCACATTTTTCCTTCCTGTCAAACATGATGAGAAAAGCTAGAAATAAGAAGAACGTTTAAATTTCTAAAAATCCATATAACAGAACTCTGAAACTGTTTATATGCAATATATAAGAAATCTATATGAGAAAAATCACAACAGAGAGTAAAGTCATGCAAGTTGCATCAGTGAGAGTAACAAAGATTACAGAAGAAGCACAAGAATAAGATGGTAGATGAACCCATGTGTGCTGACATAATCTCTAGATGCTGGTGTCATCCCTCGAGTTTGCTCCTGGCGTCATTAATGAAGAAATTCACCTGGGTGGTGACCTGCGTTCCCCCGAGAACAAAGAACACCGAGGCGCTGTTGCACCAGATGGAAATGTCGAAAGAAGCAAGAAAGAAAACCAGCAGCAAAGTTCACTTTAGTTTCAGAGTTCAGCGTCGGGTTATCTGGGAGGAAAGAAATTCCAGGATTTTCTTCATTTCATGACAAAAGTAGCTTAAAGCTCTTCAAATGACAGGATGTCAGTCTGGAGGAGTTTAATATGGAGAGAAAGATAAATTTACAGTAACTGAGTCAAAACTTTATTGACGTTTTTATCTTGAGCGTATGATTGTGTTATTATTCTAAAGTCCTTCTAGAACAGGTTATTCATTCATAGAAAATCCTACTTGTGCTGATGCCAGATATACTTGTTTAAAAAGAAAAGAATAAAGCTTTGTTTTCAGTTACACTTTGATAGTTTCTTGTAGTCTACTTGGTAAATGGACTGACTCTTATGTAGCGCTTTCTACACCACCTGAGCACCAGAGCACTTTATACAACATACCTCATTCACTCCCATACAAACACTTTTTTCTATGCTTAAGTGCTTGCTGTCTAACATCCACACAGACTCACACTCCAATGGATGCATTGGAGAGCAACTCGTCCAAGGATATTTGGCAAACGGGGATCAAACCACCAGATTACCTGCTCTACCCCATGAGCTACAGTAACTCCTTGGATACAATTCAATTCAATTCAATTTTATTTATATAGCGCCAAATCACAACAAAAGTCGCCTCAAGGCGCTTCATAGATATACTAGATATCCTAGATATACTCTAGGAACAACAAGTAGGCCTGCAGAGCGGGAGCGAAGTGCTCTAATAGGGTGATATGGTACTACAAGGTCATTAAGATAAGATGGGGCCTGATTATTTAAGACCTTGTATGTGAGGAGCAGGATTTTGAATTCA